TATATATATATATATATATATATATATATATATATATATATATATATATATATATATATATATATATATATATATATATTGGTCCTAAGAGACAATTAACTAAACATCGAACATTAGGTAAGTGTGTTCAACTGGGCTACATAATTAACACTCATTAAATCAGATGTCTCAGGTAATAATCTCAGGTAAGGAGATTCTCATTATCGTGTTTTATAAGAGCTGAGATTCAGGACTATTTCGCGGTGTAAGAGAGAGAGAGAGAGAGAGAGAGAGAGAGAGAGAGATATTCGAATATTTTACGAAGAATCTGTTTCGTGTACCTCTCATTGTACCTCCTGCACCTCTCATTGTACCTCCTGCACCTCTCATTGTACCTCTTGCTGTACCTCAAGGTAATAAGAGCCTCTCTACACCGATATCCTAAATACTCCTTCGTCTTTTCCAGGAATTCTCAAAGCCTTTAAAAATTGTCTGGGAAAAACAGCACAAGAGCGTGTATTGACATGTTGAGGGGAGGGAGGGAGGGAGGGAGTTAAGGAGGGAGGGAGGGAAGGAAGGAGGGAACTAGGAGAATCTAGATGGGGAGCTAACTCTTTAATCAGTCTTAAGTCAGTTTTTGGTCAGTCTTAGGTCAGTCTTAGGTCAGTCTTAAGTTGATTGAAGGTAGTGATTATTACCTGTGTTTCTTATCGATACAGGTGTGGGTACACTGATTAATTAAATACCTGTATTATTGTGACTAAATACACAGACGCACGCACCAAACACACACACATACACACACACTTACACGCACCTAAACACACACACACACACCTAAACACACACACACACACCTAAACACACACACACAATATTTTTTCTCATTTCCATTCTCAGTCTCACTCACATCAAGTCTATTCAAACACCTCCTCAAACAAGGGAGGAGGAGGGAGAGGAGTAGGAAGAGGAGAAGGATGGGAAGGAGGAGAAGGAGGGGGAGGAGGGGAAGGAGTAGGAGGAGGAGGAGGAGAGCAACAGGGATTCAACCTTTCTGGGAATATTAGAGTCAGTAGTTCCGGGTAGCAGAGGATACAGACCCACACACACACACACCTGCCTCTTGCACCCCCTAAAAATTCCCAGAACTTAGCGACGAACACCCAAGCCGGTCAACATAGCTCTCTTGTCATGTACCTTGGAGGAGATGACTGAGACGGCAGCCTTAGTGAGGTATTTCATATATATATAAAAGAAAGAAGAGCGAGTGGGGGGTAAAATAGCGACTTGAACTTGTAAACAATAACTTAAAGGTGTGGTTTGTAGGTTACCTGGATCTTGTTTACAGGTACACGAGTCTTGTTAAAGGTGCGTTTTAACAGATACCTTGGGGGTCGTTTTAACAGTGCATGGGTCTTATTAAAAGTGCATTTACAGGTACATGGGTCTTATATACAGGTACCTGGGTCTTATATACAGGTACCTGAATCTTGTTTACATGTACAGGTACTTATCAACAAATACCTGGCTCTCGTTATGAAGTACAAGTTTCAGATTACCCCTATACGAAACCACCTGTACATAAACAAACTAACAGGTGTTACTGTCCATACGACCTACCTGAGAGTGAGTCATAATCACTTATAATGGGAGCTACGTGTCACCTACCTGCTCTCCCTCACTCTCAGGTGTTTTAAAGACAGATAGTTGGGAGTATGTGGATGTTGATAGGTGTTGATATTATGTATGTTGGTAGTATATGTACGAGTGTATTGACAAGTATTTATGTGCTGAGAGTATGTATGTGGATATATGTGTGTTGGAATTTTGAAGGTATACAGTTTAATAAGGTCAATGGCAATATTCCTGAGGTGTCATGGTATACATAAGACAGTCTGGTAACCTGGTAGCCTCTGTGGGGTCGTTGGTGTGTGTCTAAATGCAACAGAGAAACTAATTAGCCGATTAAGGCTCTCAGGTAAACACGACTGACAGATTGGTAAGGTATCGTGTGGAGAGAATTACTGTTACGATATATTTAGGGATTGACTCTCTCTCTGCTTCTCTGTCTGTCTGTTTCTGTCTGTCTATTTCTCTGTCTCTGTGTCTTTCTGTGTCTGTCTGTCTGTCTGTCTGTCTTTATTCATCTTTTTCTCTCTTTCTATCTCCCTTTCTGTCTGTTTTTTCTGTTCTGTCTCTTTCTGTCTCTTTCTCCCTTCTCTCTGTCCGTCTGTCTCTCTCTCTCTCTGGTCGCTTTCCTCTCACAAAATAAACACCTTTCTCTTGTTACTGTATCTACCTGTCTCGAGCCGTACCTTTGTCATTAACCTGTTGTATTACCTTACTGTACTTGCATGGTAATCTTCACTGGCAGCAGAGGGGATATCCTGCATGAAAAAGGACGAAAGGGGACGAACAAAAGGACGAAATGGACGACAAATGGACGAGAAAACCTGCAGTTTCTCTTTCTAATTTTTGAGGTTAGTGATACTCGATTCTTGTCATGGTTGGTAGTGTAGATGACCTGTTAACTGTTGTCCAATCACTTGTGTCAATACCAGGTTAAAGTTATATAGTTTTGCCTCGGCTTAACCTACCCTACCCTACCCTACCCTACCCTACCGTACCCTACCCTACCCTACCCTACCCTACCCTACCCTACCCTACCCTTCAACATCAAAACAAATAATGACACAAAATCTAGTCGCCTCCATCCTTCATCCTCCTCTTCCCTGTTCCTCTTATGTTTATGATGTTCGATTAAATTCCTCCATCAAGAAAGAAAGACACATTTTTCCCTGAATTTTCTGCTTTTTAACGTAACTCATTGAGGGACTCGAGATGTGGCCAAGATAGACGCATATGTAGTGTGTCTCCGCAGGTAAAAGACTTCCCTCCATCAATGATCTTATCTCCTGCTGGGTCTTTAAAGAAAATTCTATTGTGTTTAGAGATGACCACCAGAGGGAATAACGAAGGCATGACATGGGAGATAATGATAACAGGGAAGGGATAAAGAGAAGGTAAATACTCGGTAAATTTATCACAAGGGGGATGACGAGGACTCAGTGCCATGTCACATCAAGCTCTGTTACCCCGTCCGTAATAACAACACACACACTACCCAAGCTAAGATAGACATTACAGAAGGCTACTCTTCATCCGTCTTATCTTCACTACAACTTAATATTACACGAAAAAAGAAGAAAAAAAAACCTTGTATAATTCTTTCTCTGTATTGTTTACATAAAATAAAGTATGTGATCAAACAGTCGATACAAGATCCACCACACGCACCAAAAACCAACCCAGAAGAAAGTGAACATCGTGTTGCGTCTTTTAAGTTGTATAATTCGCTAGAAATCACATACTTTCATCTTGATTCCTTCACAGTCGCAAATTTTAGAACATAGATTGCAAGGTTTATTGTCCCTGATGAATAAGCAGAGGGAAAAAAAATAGAGGTAACAAGACAGATATTAACACAGACAGCGTATTAACTCTCATTCCTTCATACCACAACAACAATGACTTTTATAATTAACAAGAACATTCACTAGAGTGTAAAGACAAATATTTACCTTTTATCTACAACAGTTAACTAGGTATTGTCTTACAAAGTCATGACAAGGACAAAATACAAAGAAAATAGACCCAAACAATTACAATAACAACACCAAGACAACAATACTATATCCATTACAACTATTTCAAGACAACTAACATACAGCACTAGACACGTTTTCTATGATAAGTTACATCCACTAGGGAAGGGATGACTAATGCATTTGTCGTACCATATAGTTAATTGCCTTTTGCTATTTTCTTATCAAACTGTGAGTGAATATTAACTTCTCTGATGAAACTTGAGACGCGGATTACCTAAACATACACAAAATATATGAAGTTTGTAAATAAATTGTAAAAAAAAAACAACACGATTTACAGTACAATGCGTCTTGATTGTAATAATATAAATGTAAATGAATATCTTTTTGGGTATATATTCACAAAGTATATACGTCATCCAGAGTATACCTGAGCTGATCTAGGTTAAGGGACCCCACGTATAACAGGCACAATCTTAACCTATACTTAACATCATTGTCTTGACTATCTCAGTAGCGAAGATCTTTGGTGCGTTGAGTTGGAGGATGATGGGGCAGGGGAAGATAAGAATGAGAGGGAGAGAATAATGACTGAGAGGGAGAGAGTGAAGAAGACCAAAATAGGGGAGAGAGGTGGGAGAGGGAGAGAGGGGCAGTGAAAGTGGTGGAGATGAAACTCTTTGATATAGAAGTGGGTGTGTGTGTGAGTGTCAGTGAGAGGGGTTGAGGTGAGTGGGGTTGGAGAGTGGGAAGAAGAGGTTTGGGGTGAAGGTTAATGGGATGGGTGGGTGGGGTGGAGAGTGGGAAAGAAGAGGTTTGGGGTTGAAGGTTAGTGAGATGGGTGGGGGGGTTAAAGATGAGGGGGTTGAAGGTGAGTGGGGGTTGCAGGTGAGTGGGTTAAGGATGAGGGCGTGCGGGGGAGGGCGTGTGGTGGTGGTGGGTGCAGGGTCAAAGGTCACTGAGGAAGGAGTGGTCCAGGGTGATAGCTATAAGGTCACTTGCTGCGTCACTGTGCCTTCCCCCAGAGTACTGCCATCTTCATCATCATCGTCATCATCATCGTCATTATCATCATCATCATCAGCACCACCATCACCATCATTATTACCATATTTAGCACCATATCAATCCTTATTTCTCCTGAGGTGAGAAAGAGGAGAAGAAGAGGAGGAGGAAGGAAGAGGAAGGAGGGAGAGTGAACGAGCCACTGACCCAAATGAGTAGTGAGAGACCTCCTGCAGTATGACTTTCCTCGCCCTGTCTCACCTCTCACTGCCTTCCCTCCATCCCCTCTCCCTCCCTCCCTCCTTCCCTCCATCCCACCCCTCCCTCCCCTCCTCCCTCCCTCCATCCCCTCTCCCTCCCTCCCTCCTTCCCTCCATCCCACCCCTCCCTCCCTTGTTACACCGAGATATAGGAGATCCAAAACCTTCCATTGAAGACTAAACACCCTTTAACATGGATTCTCCTCTCCTCCAAATCATGACCTGACCTGACCTAACCAAACTTCCACCCTCACGCATGACCTAACACGACCCACACACACACACACTCACCAGCATAACAGCGTGTGTACATAACAGCCTCTCGCTTATGTCACACGTCAAATGTCAATCAGTTAAGAAGATACACTGGGTTATATGCCTTTACATGTACAATCGGCTCCAAGTGTGTTGTTACACCGCACCTTGTTCAGAATCTCACTATAGATCTTCCTCAACATGTTTATTAAGGTTCTATGGCTGGAAACCTAAAAAACAAAACACTTTAACACTTTAATTATATAACAAACATGAAAAACAGTTATTTATTGAAACTTAAATAGAAAACGTTAAAGTAACTAAATTCTACTCGGATTTTTTGTTCTCCCGACTCTACTCTGGGCAACCCGAGAGACGAAAGGCTAACATACAGTGATCTTTGTTCCCGGTAATTACTGCAGATTAAGATACCAGAACACCTGCCAGTAAACTGCGGCGAGAGAACTGACAATTGTGTGGCGGAGCTGATAACCCGATCATTACCTTCCCTCACCTGTCACCTGTACTTACACCTGGGGCTGATTGTACCGCCTTCACCCTGGCTTGACCGGACCCGCCCTCCTGCCCTCCCGTGCCTCCCTCCCTCTCACCAACACTTAGTGGGCTCGGCTTACGTAAACGAACAGCTCACGTGAGGTCAAGTCACATACACGACCAGTTTACACGCATTCGGTCTATACGAACAACCAGCGTATACGAAATTGGCCCATACGAACGACCAGCTCACACGAGATCAGTTTACACTAATACTCAGATGGACTGGACTAAATCCCTCCCTCCTTACCTAAGACCAACTCAAAAGACCATCTCTTAAGACCAACTCACAAAATGATTTAACTGAGCCACACTAAGACACCTAAGACACACACAACACCTAATACCTCCCCCTCCTACCCCCCCCTCCTCTTCCCCCTTCTCCCCCTTCCCTCCTCCCCACCCTTCCCCTTAAGAAAAATGTCATTGTGTGACTTCCTCAAATTGGATGAAATTTTAGTGAGAAAGACACCAGATACCATGGTCTTTGAGGTCACTGGAGGTCATCTTGGGGGTCATGACCTTTACGTTAGGTTTGGGAAGTGAATACGTGTAAGGTATTATATAATGAAATACAGACTGAGTTTGTTTATTTATCTGAATATTTACGAATAATCATTCTAATTTGAATATTTATTATAACTAGTTTACCTGAAGCACAAAGTATGATGATAACGCTGAACAGAAAATAGTTTTGTTTTTTAAGTTATGGAAGAATATTATCAGTTTCTTCTGTGAGTTTGAAGATATTGAAGAGATATTCTGTTTTCTTATTATCTATTTTATAACATAATATAAGTGAACTTTTTTCTAAATGATTCGTGTAGCTTTCTTTACATCACTATCATCACCACTAATACCACCACAATCATCACCCATACCACTATCACCACCACCACAACATCCTTCCTCCCTTTCCTAAACACCGAAAACATCACCCTTACAAAACTGAACCAAAACTCGCGGAAAAAAAAATATTAAGACGATACTTGGAACGAATTTACTACCTGGTTCTTGTGTCACACTGAGGCGAAAAACTTGACTTATGAACTTATCTGACCTATCTTGGGTAAACTATAGGTGTTGGGGCGAATAGGTATGTTGTGAGTTCCTTATTTAGTAGTGAGGTTCCTTGTTCAGCTGGCAGGGTCTTCACGCTCTGGTCTTCCTAGTCTCTTCACGTACTTATATCTAAAGGCTCTTCACGCACTCATTTCTCTCGAGTATTTTCACACACTCACCTCACAAATCTTCACGCACTCACCTTGCAAGTTTTCATGTATTCATCTCCCAAGGCTCTTCACGCACTCATTTCTCTCGAGTATTTTCACACACTCACCTCACAAGTCTTCACGTACTCACCTCTCCACGCACTTATTTCAACACCCAACATATTTCACCTAATGATTAACCACTCTAACGTTAACCCAACCCACATTATCCTAACCTAATACAAACTACAATTCTCTTAATAACCAATTCAATAACATTACAATACTATTAATTACAAAACAAAAACAAAACTAATAACACAATGTAATTCAGAATAACATTACATATATCATCTCTATATGATTACACCACCTGATTCCACTGACCGAGATTTAATGAAGGGAAGAACACGTATCTTACCTGTTGTCTTAATTACAGGTCATTCAAGAGGCCTCGTGTCTGACCCCCATTGCACCTAGAGTGAGATGGTATCATTAAACTGGTGGTGTTCATCCGTATAGTGTCTTAATGCATGAAGACTGAGGAGGTTATTTAAAACTGGGCCTTTTTTGGTTGCTTCCATTTCTCAGTGTCTCTCTAGTCTACGTGATGCTGCCACTGAGAGAGAGAGAGAGAGAGAGAGAGAGAGAGAGAGAGAGCACACTACTTTCATCTCATCTACTAACACTAAGCATCCGTCACAATCATCCCCAGTCTAACCCACCTACATAGACATCCTTTCTGGTCAACACAGTCGATAATCATCATCCACCTCCTCCTCCTCCTCCTTCTCCTCTCTCTCCCCCGCCTCCCTTACCTCTTTTGCTTCCCTCCTTCTCACCTTATCTCACACACGAAGTCATTCATCGAATTTGAACACGTATTATTTTACACCCTTCTTTGGTACAATCACTTAGTTGATGTTGTTATTTGGTACATGGTTCTCGTGCCAAGGTTTCTTTATGTGTGTCACGCAGGAACACACACACACACCCTCCACACCCCCCCACACACACACACCTTCCCCCACACACACGCCTCCTCCCCCCCCACACACTAGCGCCTTCTACCCATCGTCCCCTTCACCTATTTCTCTTTAACCTCTTCACTACAGGGAAGTCACTTATTCTATTATGATCATCGCCAGACGATTTTATTCAGCACAGAGAGACCACCGCACACAAGGGGTTAAAAGAGTCATTTCAGGGGTTCTTAGGTGACACGATACTGCTTTTTGCAGCTCGTGTATTGAATGTAAACAAAGTTATCAAATTGTGTTTATAGACTCACGAATCATTTTCATGTCATCTATTGTCTCCTGGAGGTAAATATACAAAACAAATGCAAGTGGGTTTAGGGAATTAGATTGCATTTCAAACCTCCTGAAGTTATATGTGTCTTTGAGGGTCTTTCATGGGTTTCGAAAGACGACATTGGATTTAGGGGTCGAAGACAAACTGTAAATGAATATCCTGCCATGAAATTACTCACTTATAATCCCAGCCAATTTTTACTTTCATACAACATATTCAAGTGATTTTGGTAAATAAGGTAAAAATAACCACTAGATTTTCGACAGGTAGATTTGGGAGTAAATAATCATGGAGTTTCAGGTATGCAAATTATGTTATAGTAGTGACTCACCTACTCTCTACCTGGCCTGTGACTCACCCTCCCACCTATACCAGGCCTGTGACTCACCCTTCCACCTATACCAGGCCTGTGACTCACCCTCCCACCTATACCAGGCCTGTGACTCACCCTCCCACCTATACCAGGCCTGTGACTCACCCTTCCACCTATACCAGGCCTGTGACTCACCCTCCCACCTATACCCAGCCTGTGACTCACCCTCCCACCCACCTAGGCCTGTACCCTCCCACATATACCAGGCCTGTGACTCACCCCTCCCACCTATACCAGGCCTCCTCACCCTCCCACCCCAGGCCTGTGACTCACCCTCCCACCTATACCAGGCCTGTGACTCACCCTCCCACCTATACCAGGCCTGTGACTCACCCTCCCACCTATCTCCACCCTCCCATACCAGGCCTGTGACTCACCCTCCCCCTATACCGGGCCTGTGACCCACCTATACCAGGCCTGTGACTCACCTCCCACCCATACCAGGCCTGCTCCCACCTATACCAGGCTCTCACCTATACCAGGCCTGTGACTCACCCTCCCACCTATACCAGGCCTGTGACTCACCCTCCCACCTATACCAGGCCTGTGACTCACCCTCCCACCTCCACCAACAAGCGTGTGACTCGTGCACTCACCATAAAACTCTTGACTCATCTTGTCTTCATCAGATCTGTGACTCAGCCAACCTTCACTAGACCCGTGACTCACCTACCCTTCACTAACTCACCTTTCACCTTCACCTACCACTCACTACCGTCATTCATTACAGCAACAACACCTTTCACCCCCCACCTCTCACCACCTACTCACCCACCCACCTAAACTCTCACCTCCACCCTCTCTACCCTCCCCCCTCTCCCCTTCATCATCACCCACCCTTTTCTCTCCTCTCTCTCACATGCAGTCTCCACCTCACTACCCTCCCAGCCAACAGCCTGTACCCCTTCCACTTTTCACTTCTCTTCCAGCCTTTGAGAAGAGAGCTGGTGGCGGGGCGTGGCAACGGGTGGTAGGGGCGTGTTACGGGTAGTAGGGGCGTGGCAACGGGTGGTAAGGCCGTGTTACGGGTAGTAGGGGCGTGGCAACGGGTGGTAGGGGCGTGGTAACGGGTGGTAGGGGCGTGGTAACGGGTAGCGGGGCGTGGTAATGGGTTGTGGTTGTAGGAACGAATGATAGAAGGCGTGGGAACAGGTGTAGGGCGTGCCGGTAGAGCTCATGACACGCGCCCGGTAAAGCAAGGCGCCGCTGACCCCACTAACAGACAGGTAAAAGTGGAAAGGGTTTACAGGTGACAGACGCTGGACAGGACGAGATGCCTCTAAGCCTCGTGAGTGAAATTTTACCACATAAGAGAATTCTCCATGATTCTTACGTGCGAATTATCTCTTAACCTGATCTGTCCTGATCTGACCTGACCTGACCTGACCTAACAAAGAAATAAAAACTAATATAGTCATAATAAAGGGACTGAGAAAACAGATGTCTGTACCCGGTAATAAATCCATCTTGGAGGTATACAATTTTGGCGCGAAAAATAATGTAAACACGACAGTGAATCAGGGACTCCAATGATAAAAATCACTGAGAGTGTAAGGATCAATTGTACGTTGTGGATACTAATCACAGCTAATGTAAAGGTAATTGTGATTGTTTGTAATCATTGTGTTTATAATATGAACCCAAATTGTAAATGGAAAATAGATTATACGGTAAGGGTGAATTATGGATATGAAGACTGGTCGCTATATACTGTACGTTCTCCGCCTTGAGGGAATATTTGCACCTGGAACGGAGTGAGATTTCTTAGTTTGAATTTACTTTTAACTTACAGATGTCAACAATAATATGATGGTGTAGTTCAGGAGTCATTTCATATATAATCTCCCTGTGACTAAAACATATATAAACAATATATATTTGTTTTATAGCCTTACATTTCTTCTCCAGATGTTTGTTATATTATGTTCATATAGTCCCATGTGTTCTAAAATATGTGGCAGTGTTTATATTTTCACATCCACAGGTAAATGGCTAATTATATCGTCACCTTTATTTCATTCCAGTTGCTGTTGTAGCCACGAGTGATGGAACTATGGCTGACTTCTTACACCCAGTACATCATTCGTTAGTGTTTAATAAAATATATAATATCTTTGTTTTCTTGAATCATGGAACTTTGAAACAATTCTTCTAAACTTGGTGTAAAATTTGTCTAAACTTGCAAGAGTGTGAGAGACTTAATGCTTAAAAAAAGACCAAAATTAACACCAAGTAAAAGATTTTGTTTTTTGGTTCCAGAAATATATCCTGGTACTTGACTGTCTTGCCTACACACTTCCATAGCTCAAGATCTTCACTTTACAAATCCTCTTAGTTGCAAAAATCATCAAGAGATATTTTTTCTTCAGCAACTATTAAATTCTTATGATTCTATTTTGTTCATTATTGATCAAAGTGGCTGTGTTGTAGGATACACATTGTCGAAGTTTCTTTCTCGTGTCTCCAGTTGTTCCACTCCAGGTAACGTGTCCACAGAACCAGATGAAATGATGTTACCCCCACCTCCCTCTCCCTAGTATCGTAACACTTATTTACTAAACAAATACGACAAAAATATCAAGAAAATCACCAACAACTTATTTATTTACTGAATTATAGTAATGATAAAGTATTTAACTATACAATGGGGGAAAAATACGGCTTAAAATAATTTGATTTAGGCCGTATGAAGAAGGATTTTCTTGTTGTTAGTAAGTATAAACGATTCACTTTCCTAATATTTTATCTCCTTGTGGCAGGGAAGTATAACTATTAGTTTTATCCCATACCTATTGGGACTGATCTATCCACTAGCCTTCTAGGTGGGTGGGGGGGGAGACTACCTTATAATTTCACCATATAAATCAACCATCGTGACTGGGGCTTATAACAGACGCGAGAACAGATATAAATTGTTCCTTTATTCTTACTACTGAACTCTGTGTTATTTGCGGTAGATTTATGTTATCAGAATCAAAGAATATTATGATTTGTGTGAAAGTTTGGGGTTGACAGGAATTCTACCGTCACCTATTTATTAGACGGAGCAAAAACACGAGAGCATAGTTCCGTTTATATATGCACTTATATATACTCTCTCTCTCTCTCTCTCTCTCTCTCTCTTTTTTTTTCTCTCTTTTCTCTCCCCACCCCCCGTCTCGCTCTTTTTCTCTGTCCCCTCTCTCTTTCTCTCTCCACCCAAACTCTCTCTTTTTCTCTCCCCTTCTCTCTCTCTAAACAAGTACGGTTTTGCTTAAAATAACAGTAAAATATAATTAACTGTCATAATTGTACCATAGATTATGAAGTTTTAATAATTAATTATGCTAATTGATATGAGGATAATTAATTAGTAGCTCAAACTCTTAGTATAGGTTGTCCTTGTAATAGCACCTTTGCGTTATATAAATATACACCCAAATGAATAACACCAACTTATTCACCAAGATATTCAACAATGATTCGGTTGTTGACGATTATTCACGGCTGAGCTGCAAGTACCACAGAGGTCAGGCGTAGGTCATCTGTATGTCAAAACCACTTCATGTCTTGCCATATCCTCTCCCACGCGGCTCTCTCCTCACACACAGGTTTGAAGGAGGGACAACGCTCGGAGAGAATTTCAGATCATCATCAATTTTTCAAGGGTGAACACGTAACTTAAGTGTTCTCCAAAAAATTGTACTCATAACACTTCCCTGGAGAGATACGTAACTGTGTATGTTGATGCTTCGACAATAAAAGAAAAACCAACAAGAAGTGTTTACATCAAACCCTGCCACTTAAGAGTTCTAGATCTTATTTAAAAAAATTAATGTGATATACAAATACCTATCACACGCTGATTAAGGATCTGTGGTCGAATTGTTAAAATTGTATCATTGTATTTGAAGGTTTAGCAAAATCCTGCTAGTGGGTGTGAAGCCCGTGTCACTAGACTTCCTGACTTGAGTCATACCTCTGTCACTCACACTCTAGAGGGAGACCAGACGACCATGGCGGTCAGGAAGCAGCAAAGCCTGTCCAGGATGGCGATTTCACTGCACCTCTACCGGCTTATTCCTGTTCGCTGGTACCCAGTGAAATCCGACGGAGAATGACGGAGTATCGCTGTCAGCATGCCGGACGCAGAGATGTCCCCAGCTGGGATCCTGTTATCATTGTTCCAGCCAGGCCGATAGCCAGATGACACCATCTGCAGAGCCACCAGGGACCCTACCAGGGGTGGCTATAGACTATTCTTTTAACCCACAAATTACAGCCAATAGGAGAAGAGAGCAGTCAGTCAACACAACAGGTAAGGTCCATGGGGGCCGCCCTTGGGAGAGTCCTTGGAGGCGCCAATGTCCCTAGGATGGTCCCTGAAGATACCGTTGCCCCTGGAAGAGCCCCTGGGGGCGCCACCGTCCCTCAGAAAGCCCACAGGGATGCCGCCGCTGCTGCGAGGGCCACTGGGGGTGCGACCACGCCTTCAAGGGCCCCTGAGGGCGCTGCCGCTATTGAGTGGGCCCCTAGGAAAGCCACCTTCTTAAACGTGATTGGTGGA